CGAGGGGGTGGGGGAATGGGTGGGGTGGAGTGTCCATCTTGGGGCGGGGACGTTCTGGAACTTGATCATTGTGCTCAGAGTTTTAAGTTTTTGTCCTAACAGCGTTAAGGTTTTAGACCAGAGTCTAAACATGCGTTGTATGTTTTTCATGAGAAACTCTGTGTTTAAGTCAATTTTACAAAAATCTTTCATGAGAACTGATTGTACACAATTTCTACGTGGATACCTTTCACAGAATCAGCTTATTATTTAATAGACAGAAAGCAAAAAGTTTTATTTGTACAGCCATCTTTCAAAGCAGTTTTTTTTTTTTCTTGGAGTGTCATTGGATAATAGAAAACAGATTTTTCTCAGCTAGTGAAAAATCTCAGTGAGTGAAGGTCCTTGCCATGCAAGCCTAGTGACCAAATTCAATCTGAAACTCATATAAAGGAGGAAGGAGAGAACCGACTCCAGAAGTTTTCCTCTAACCTCCACATGTGCACTTGTGGCACACTTGCACCCCCACATGTATGTACACACACATACACAAATAAATTAAAAAAGAAAAAGATTTTTCTACCTAGAAAAGCCAGTGGGGGAAAAAAAGAGCCAGGCATGGTGGTACGTAACTGTAACCCCAGTACTTGGGAGACTGAGGCAGGAGGATCATGAATTCAAGGCCTCTCTGGGTTGCATAGTGAGTTCCAGGCTAACCTGACTCTACAGTGAGATTCTTTCTCAAAAAAAAAAAAGAAGGGGCTGGAGAGATGGCTCAGCGGTTAAGAACACTGGTTGTTCTTGCAGAAGACCCAGGTTTGAATCCCAGCACCCACATGGCAGCTAACAACTGTATTTCCAGTCCCAGGGGATCCAACAGCCTCTTCTAACCTCTGCGGGCATTGCACGACACAGGTGTACTTACCTTCATGCAGGCAATACACGCATACACATAAAATAAAAAAGAAATTAAAAAAAAGAAATACATGCCTAAGATGCTTATTAGGAACCCTAATAATGCTGACTAGTCCTTTTAAAATATGACTATAAGCAGGGCGTGGTGGCGCATGCCTTTAATCCCAGCACTCGGGAGGCAGAGGCAGGTGGATCTCTGTGAGTTCAAGGCCAGCCTGGTCCACATAGTGAGTTCCAGGCCTGCTGGGGCTACAGGGAGACACTGTCTCAAAAAGACCAAAAAAATAAATAAAAAATAAAATAAAATATGACTATAGCAAGATCAGATGGCAAGATGCAGTCAGCATGAGGGTCTCACTTGCACACACACAGTCTTTTGTTTGTAGGTGTTTACGGTACAGCTGACATTAACTCCAGTCTGCCCTTTTCTTCGTGAAGGAAGGAATCCAGGTGGTATATGCGGGCCAAGACGGGCTCCTTCCAGAAGTATGTGTAGGGTGCCGTGCAGCATGACACCAGTGGATCTTGACTGGCCTGGGGTTTGAAGCACAGATCCTACTCCATTAGTGGTAAATGCTTCTTGGTCAGGAGACTCTAAAGTGATGATTCTCAGTCTGTAGTGCCTGACTGCTGATCCTCTGCACAGTTGGTTATGGGAAGGACACTGTCCCCAAACAGTTTCTAAGATTGAAAACAGTATAATGAAAATAAACCTTTTTAGCCTGGTGCAGTGCTGCATGCCTTTAATCCCAGCACTCTCAGGAGACAGAGTCAGGGGGATTTCTATGAGATCAAGGCCAGCCTGGTCTACATATAGATAGCAAGTTCCAGGCCAGCTGGGGCTACAGGGAGACCCTGTCTCAAACAACAACACAATAATAACAATTCACCTTTTCCCATGATAAGGCTGTGCAGTGTTGAGAGCTTAGTTTTTTGGTGGAATCATGTCAAGTTAGCATGACAATATTGCTTATAATCTGTCAATCAATAGTGTTTGTAGTTGTTTCCTGATTATTATCAAGGCTGGGAAAATACTTATTACCTACATATGAGCAGGGGCATGCAGATGTGGTGGTACATGCCTTTAATCCTAGATCCTGGCCAGCCTGGTCTACATAGTGAGTTCCAGGCCAGCTGGGATTGTAGGGAGACTCTCCAAAACAGATACCATCAACAACAGAAAGAAACCAAAGGAAAAACACCTAGGTACAAGCTGGTAGGTCATAGTGCTTCAAACAAGGGCCCCATGCAGGAGGTTAGGAGCCAAGAGGTGGGTTTAGGGGAGGTTGGGAGGCCCTTAAAGGAAGCCTTAGCTGATAGGCTGCATCAGTCCCCTGGTGTGCACGAAATCATCTTACTCCTGGCAAGCAGGTATGAGTCCTCTGGCTGATCTTCCTTTTGCCTTTGGTTTCTTTGTGGGTAGTCTGTCTTCAGATTAATTCTCCACTCCAGATAGATTCTCTGGGTTATACCTGCTCTTTTTTAAAATTTAAGGGTTTTTTTTATGTATATGAGTGTTTTGTCTGCATGCATATACATATATATATCCCTCATGTGCACTATGTGTGTACAGTGCCAAAGGAGGCCGGAAGAGCATGTTGCATCCCTTGAAACTGGATTTACAGAGGGTTGTTAGCCAGGAACTGAACCCAGGTGTTGTATAAGAGCGACCAGTGCTCTTAACTGCCAGGTTGTTTCTCTAGCCCCCATAGCTGCTCTTACAGTGATTCAGGTTCTACTTAAAATGCAACCGTATATCACACATATATATGTATAGAATTCTTGTGAGGAAGAGAGGTTAATAACTCATTTGACCTTCTGATTATACAAGCCTCAGATAGTCTTATGAATTTGATTCATAGGCAAAATTCAACTACTTACAATACAAAATCAAATTAATTTTTATTTTTCTCTATATAACATCCTAGTGGCATTTAAAAGTGAGTTTTCATGTACATCTCAATTGAAGTTGGTCATTGCTAGTGCTCTGTGTTTGATACGAAGGTAAGATTCTTGTTTTCTTTTTGAGCTAGGCAGCTTGGGCAGGCCTATATTTTCAGTTCTCTTTACTCAGTCTTCCTAGTTTGGGGATTATAGGCCTGGTGGGAAGGATTATTTTAAAATGTGGGTTGTGGGGCTGGAGAGATGGCTTCAAGGGTAAGAGCACTGACTGCTCTTGCAGAAGACCCGGGTTCGATTCCCAGCACCCTCTTGGTGTCTACAAACCGTCCTTAACTCCAGTTCCAGGGGAATCCGATGCCCTCTTCTGACCTCCGTGGCATTGCACAGTGCACACGGGTGCACTCACATGCATGCAGGCAATACACTCAGACACATAAAATAAAAATAATAAATACTTTTTTTTTTTTTTTTCTTTTTGAGACAGGGTCTCCCTATAGCCCCAGCTGTCCTGGAACTCATCTATGTGTCTGCGTGTGTGTGTGTGCATGTGCACTATTCATGGAGGCCAAAAGAGGGTGCCAGGGGACCCTCTGTATCACTCTCTGCCTGCTCCTTTGAGGCAGGGTCTCCCCCTCAACCTGGAACACTTGTTTTCTTGGCTAGGTTGGACGCCTACAACCCTAATGATCCTCCTGTGTCCACCCACCTCAGAGCTGGGGATCCAGCATGTAGGGACCTCGCTTGCTACGAGTGCTGGGATCCCAGCTCTAGTCTTTATGATTAGACAGCAGATGCTCTTAACTGCTGAGCCACATCACACATTATATGTATAAATTGTGGAATAAGTAATGATTTGGTCTGACTTGAGTCTACCACCTAGTACATATTTTCTAAAGTTGATAATTCTTAGGTAAAAATATAGTCTTGTGTATGAAATGGAACTCATTTTCCTAAAGTATGACCACAGGGCAGATTCATTGTAATGTCAGGAATGGAGACACCTGGATATTTTCTGGGCTTCATCTGCCATCTGCAGACATAGTCTACTTGCCTTGTCCTCCCTAGTTCTCTCTGCTGGTTCCTACACTATATTTTGTGTTCCTGACTGTGTCAGTGTCAGGAAACACAGTGGATCTTGGGTCTTATCTGATGCCCAGTAGTGTAGTGATTTTAATGATCATCAATCCAGTGCCTGAAGCAGTTCTTGGAATGTTTGTTGCAGAAAGTGTAACTCCTACTGTTGAGCTCAATGCACTGTGTGTGAAACTGGGAAGAAAACCGATGTACAAGCCTGTCGACCCTCACTCTCGGATGCAGTCCACTTACAACTACAGCATGCGTGGAGGGGCTTATCCCCCCAGGTATGTGTGCTCTGAATTTCTAGTGAAATTGGTGGTAATAGCTGATCTTCTAGCTCAAATGATGTGTATAAATGATGGAAAAGAAATGATTTGGTCTAACTTGAGTCTGCCAAGAGGGACAGAAGTCTCACTTGTGCATTTGGGACTATCTTGGGAACTGCTGTTTAAGCTACTGCCTTTGCAGACAGCCTGAGCATCTTGCTCATGGCCAGCTGTGGGCAGGCCCTGCTGTCTGGCTGCAGTTCTTATGACCGCTTTGAATAACAGCCACATTTCTCCATGACTTTTGCGGCCTGTGTGGTTGCTTGGTTGTTGTTAGTTGCTTTTTCATTTTTGAACTTGAATGCTTTGTAAAATACTAATTAATAGTCAAAAGTGCTAAGATCAGGGCTGGAGAGATGGTTCAGTGGTTAATAGGGCTGGCTGCTCTTCAGAGGACCAGGTTTGGTTCCCAGCCACCCACATGACGACTGACTGTCCAAAACTCCAATTCTAGGAGATCCAGTGCCCTCTTTTGGCCTCTGCAGGTATTGCATGCACAGGTGCACTTACATGTAGGCAATATAGTCATACACATAAAATTTAAAAAAATAAAATCTTGGGGCTGGAGAGATGGCTCAGCAGTTAAGAGCACTGATTGCTCTTGCAGAGGACCCGGGTTTGATTCCCAGCACCCACATGGCAGCTACGAACTGTAGCCAGTTCCAGGGGAATCCAAAGCCCTCTTTGGACCTCCGTGGCATTGCATGACACGGATGACTCACATACATGCAGGCAATACACTCATACACATAAAATAAAAATAAATTTTTTTTTTTAAATCTTAAAATTTTTTAAGGGTGTTGGAAAACCAGGTGTCATTGCAGAATGCTTATAATCTCAGCACTCAGAAGGTAGAGGCAGGAGAATCATCCTCTGTTATCTAGCAGTTTCAGTCCACCCTGAGCTATATGATACCTGGTCTTAAACAGGCTAGGTGGCACAGGGATACGCTTTTAATCCCAAGCACTTGGGAGGCAGAGGCAGAGGCAGGCAGATCTGTGAGTTCAAGGCCTGCCTGGTCTACATAGTGAGTTTCAGGCCAGCTGGGGCTATAGGTAGAACCTGTCTCAAAAAAAAAAAAAAAAATCTAACCAAACAAAAAAGTGTTATGTGTTACAGACCTTTACTGGCAGAAGTGAGACATTAGTAAATAAATCTGTCATCAAAATGGACATTTTTATTTTCTTTCCTTCTTTGATGGGGTGGTAGAGGGCAAAGCACTTCAAAATATAAGCTTTGAAGTCTGAGAAACCAGGGTCTGCTAGGCTTGGGCTGCTCGGATTTCCAGAAATGGGGGTCTTTTTAGACATCAGCCTTAAAATTCTCAGACTCCTTAGGAGACATGTAAGTGTAGATTGAAGTCTCAATGAAATTAAGTGGGTTTACATTGGTCATGGCCAGGGCCCCGTCTAGTCTAGATCCTGTCAGAATAACCTAGCATAACGGTCATTTGGTGGGGCAGTAGTGCGGTCTGTATCGTGCTACTTATACTGCACAGCAGTAATTCAGGGTGAGGTTCAGTGGAACTTGGGTTGTATTGGTGGAGTCAGTCCTAGCCAGCCAGCCTTGATGAGGCCATGGTAAAAGAAGGGTGGCTTACCAGCCCAAGACTGATTTCCTAACTCCCATTTATTTTTAGGTACTTTTACCCATTTCCAGTTCCACCCTTACTTTACCAAGTTGAACTTTCTGTGGGAGGACAGCAGTTTAATGGGAAAGGAAAGACGAGACAAGCTGCAAAACATGATGCTACCACCAAAGCGCTGAGGATCCTGCAGAACGAGCCCCCACCCGAAAGGCTGGAGGTAGGTTGGGTGCCTCTGCTCACCTTTGAGGAGCTGTGTGTAGTTACTGTGTGATGGCCTCATTCTGTGGCCTGGAGAGGACCTCCTTCTCATGTCTTGGCAAGAAAGTTCAGGGGCCTCCTTTTTCATTCTGGCACAGTTTGACCTGCACTTTGTGGGAACGTGTCAGGAAGGCTGTGACTCAGTGGGGTTGTGGAGAACATCCACGGGTGAGTTCCTTGAGACTGACGACTGTGCCTTCCAGACCCCACTGATCTGTGGTGCTAAGTTAGAGGATCTTCTCACCTGATTTGGCCAGCCTATTTTTTTTTCCCTTTTGATTTTTTTGACAAAAGGGGTCTCCCTGTAGCCCCAGCTGTCCTGGAACTCACTATGTAGAGCAGGCTGACCTGGAATTCACAGACATCCACCTGCCTCTTCCTCCCAAGCGCTAGGATTAAAGGTGTGCCTTACCATGCCTGGCTCAGGCTCTCTGTTATGTAGAAGGATTGTCATCTTTTGCTGCACAAGAGATCATCAGAAATCATAGTGCCTTTATTTTGCTCACAAGTCTGTGACTTGGGCAGGGCAGCTTGTTTGTTTCACACAGCTCTGGCAGAGGGGTTGGGGGCCTAGTGGCAAGATGGCTGGCTCCTAGCCAGGAGTTCATCTGTCTATGGCAGGTTACCTCCATTCCTGTGTAGTGGCTGGGGCTGCTTGTACTTTCTCACACTGTGGTGGCTGGAGCTTAAAGAATTCCTATCCTCAAAGATAGGAAATGGAAGCCAGTTTCTTAAGGCCCGCACCTAGAGATCATAGCCTGCTTTTGCTGACACAGAACCAAAGGAGATAGGAAACCTCACTTTTTATGTTGTTTTTATTGAAGTAAAGATCACATTAGATAAAACTCACTGTCTTAACCCTCTTAAATGTATAATTGAGTGGTTTCTGAAGACACTGACAGTGTACAGAAGCCTGCTTCTGGAAGAGAAGAGTGCTAAAGAATTCAGGGCCATGTTTTGTTGAGCCCAGCTAGGGCTTTGAATGCTGATCACATTCTGCCATTGAGCTACACACATAGCCTTGGGGCAAGATTTCAGACTACAGTGACAGGAAATGAATGTTGTTAAGGTTCAGATAGCCCAGCCCCCTCACCAACAGGGTCTCAAGGCCTTCTCAAGCTCCTGAGAAAAGGGAACCGAGCTGATCAGTGCCCTGGTCATTGAAGTCAAGAGAAGCAGATGTTTCTCCACTGTTTGGCCAACACAGCAGGCTTCCCCTTTGATCTCTAAAGAGAACAAGTTTTAATAGTCCGGCTCTCCCACCCGCCCTCTGCCCCCCAACTTTAAAAAAATATATATGTTCCCGCCTTCTGCAAGAAGCAGAAGCCTCCCTTTTAAAAAGACCCCAGCTCATGACCCGGGCAGACATTTTCCCTGCCCGGAAGGGAATCTGTCCCATGTATTCCTTTGCTAATAAACTCTACTTTCTCCTGATCAACCCTATTTGTCATATGGCTACTTTTTATCTATCAGATGTTAGCCTTGCTGACTAAATAGGAATGTTCTTCTTAGGCTGGCTCAGCGATTCCATGGTGTTGAGGGCCACACATTCGCGGGTATTTCTGAGGAGGCAGAGCTTAGCCTTCAGTCTAGTCACCAAAGGTATAGAAGGAAGCTGGAGGGCAGAAAACCTTGTGATTGTGTTTAATCACAGCAGAACGTGCCACCTACAAATATTCCTGAACCTTTGACTCTCTTAGTTAAGAATTTTACGAGTACAAAGATCTTACCTTCGACAGTGAGCTAAGGGCGTGAGAAGTCTTCAGTGGCTGTGCAGGGTGCTGGTGGCTTTGTGGCTGGCTGCTCAGAAGTGCTACTTTTTTTGTTGTTATGCTGTGTTTATAGCCTCCAGCTCGGTCACCTATCCTGAGGACCACATAGAAGAGAGCTGGGCTTCGTCTTAAAAGGATTTGGTAACCTTAAAAGGACTTGCTTCCCAGTAGTCAAACAGAAGGGTAGAAGGATCAGAGCTAATTTAGAGACTTGCCTTTGGTGCTGATGTGGTTGGTGTCAGATGGAACAGGTATCTCTCAGTTCCTGGTAGCCATCAGCTGCTGTGTAGGTTGTCTGCCAAGAGTCACTTTGGGAAGTTTAAAAAAAAAAAATCCCTAGGTTCAACCCACAGGATTCACATGTAGTGGGCCATGGCCAGACCCATCCTTGTGTTTCTGTCATTCCTGTGTTACCAGAGTGATCCTAAAGCATGACCATGCTGGGAACTATGGCTCCTTAGGGCTGCCAGTCCCTCAAAGGGCCTTCTTTATTTTTTTGGTCTTTATGAGACAGCACTTCCCTGTAGTCCCACCTGGCCTGGAACTTGCTATGTAGAACAGGCTGACCTTGAACTCAGAGATCTACCTGCCTCTGCCTCCCAAGTGCTGGAATTAAAGGTGTGCACCACCATGTCCAGCTAACACACTGTGCTTTAAAATGATCTCATGGCCGTTTTTTTGTTTTTTTTTTTTTGCAATCACTAAACTTAGGGCCTCATGAATGCTAGGCAAACAACTCTACCATTGGTGTACTCCCAGCACCTGTTTTGTAGAAAATACTTTATTTTTATTTTATGTGTACAGGTGTACTGCCTGCATGTATGTGAGTGCACCCGTGTCGTGCAGTGCCTCAGAGGTCAGATGAGGGCGTCGGATTCCCCAGAAACTGGAGTTAAGGACTGTTCGTAGCTGCCATGTGGGTGCTGGGAATTGAACCCAGGTCCTCTCCAAGAGCAGTCAGTGCTCTTAACCGCTGAGCCGCCTCTCCAGCCCCTCCCAGCACCTGTTGGACCTTTTAAATCCATATTTACACTATGGGATCTTAGGGCTCTTAATTTTCCCGTATTGAAGACATTTTCCCATTTGTCATCCATCGTATCCTTTGAACACTAGTCATCTGTTCTCTGATACACTTAAGGGAGAGCATGGGAGGCTTGATGCCCTCGTGGGGTTGGTGGCACAAGTGAAGTAGCTGTCACAGCCTTTTTTTGCATGCTCACAGCCTTCCTGGTCTGTTGCATTTTTTTTTTTTACGAAGGTGCAAAATAAGACAGGCAGGCGTTGCCATCTTTCTAGTCTTTTCTCCTTTTTGGCCGTTCATTGAAACCGGATGAGAATTCAGTTTTTTTCTTCTCCATAGTGGCTAAGAGAAGACAGGTGACAGGAAGGAAGTGAGTGGGATCTGCTGTTAGTGAGTCTCCATCTGATGGGAGCATTTTGCAGGGTAGAGCGTAATTCTAGTGTTTCAAAGTGGTATGAGGGCTCGGCCCCGGAACAGCCAGGTTCCAACAAGCAAGAGCCTTTGGGGAACAACTTGACTTAGTGGTGCCCTGGGAGCTGTGCCCTAAGCAGGGGTTCTCAGACACTGGGCATGTTAGAGACCTACTGATAGCAACAGCTGTGGGTTTGTGTTTTAAAATTCTTATTGAAATGTTAAAGTATTTTTGTTGTTTTATTCTGCAAAGTTAAGAGTAAACCAGTTTTAACTCTAGAAGAATAAAAGGGCCTACTGGAGCTACATGGTAGATCGCCTTTCCTGGCACACTGAGGGCTAAGCTTGGTTCAGATTGTGTTTTCTTTTTTGTGGTGCTGAAGATTGAACCCAGGGCCTTGCATGCTAGGTGAGTGCTTTAATGACAGAGCTACACCTCAGCACACACTTTTGCTATTCTTCGTATTTTATTCAACCACTGTGCCAGGTGGTTTAGTGTAGTGTGCAGTTTTTGTACTCAGGAGGCTGAGGCAGCAGGATCAAGAGTGTGAGGCCAATCAGAGTGAGACCCTGTTCAGAAATACTGAAATAGGCTTGAGAAATGGTTCAGAGGTGAAGAGCACTGACTGCTCTTGCAGAGGACCTGGGTTCAGTTCCCAGCACCCACATGGAGGCTAACAACTATCCATAACTCCTGTTTCAGGGGCTCTTTTCTGACCTCGGCAGGCATTGTATGACATGGGTGCACTTACACACATGCAGGCAATACACTCATATACATAAAAGAATAAATAAAATATTTTTTTTCCCTGGGCCTGCAAGAGATGCAGGCCTCTCTCTCCGGGGTAAGACAATTGGGCCCTCCACGCCTTGACACCGCCAGCCTCATTCACCCTCCCATCTCCCCCACCCGACTCTCCTCCGAGCCTGGGTCCTGTCCCATTCCTGTCTTGGCATCCTAGACACCAGGAACCACCAGTGCTTCCTGATCCTTTGCATCCAGACCAACTCAGTTCCTTCTC